AAAAAAGTTTGAGGAAACGATTGATAATTTAACAGTAAAAATGAAAGAATGTGAAAACAACAACACTAAACCCTCTACTGATTTAAAGAATGAACTATACCTCCTGCGCAATGATATTAAGCAATCCGACCCAGATCCCAATACGGAGAATTTGAAATTGTTTCTGGAAGAAACTAATAAGCTGATACGGAAAGCTGATTTGTTACCAAACTGTGCAATACAGTAAATATTTCATCAGTTATATATATATATATATATATATATATATATATATATATATATATATATATATATATATATATATAAACATATGGATCAATAAGAATAGATTAATATATAACTATCACAATAATACATAAAAGCCCATGTGCGCACGATCCCCATTATTTGTAACCTTTTGTTATAAAGTAATTTACAGCGTCATGTTTGATTTAGTATTACAGTTTTCATCAACAGCTTATAAGGACTGATACAGATTTACAATAGAAATACCTCTTTCTGACATGTACTTTCATTAATTTAAGATGATTTACTTATATATTACACAAAATGTCTAATTAAATTTTTGTTCTCAAACCTGAAAATACAAATGTGTTATGAAATAAGGATCTGTTAAAGAAAAAAAAAGGTTATTATTTTCTTTCTTTTTCAGTAGGATGGCGTATTAGGGTATAGACTTATAAATAGTGCTTAGAAAAAAAAAATTGATTTAAAGAAAAATATGACAAATATTATAATAACAAAAAAAATACTACAATAAGTGTAGAGCTTATGGATACATATTTAAAAAAAAAATTAGAATGTACCTTCAAGCCACTTAACATGTTTTGTTATAGGCATAAACCTGTGTATTTGGGTTAGTGTGTAGTAATATACGTATTTAGAAAATAAAATTTATAACTTGGCAGGTTGCTTTGCAGTTTCTTTTGTAAGATGTCTATAAAATGGAACAAGATAATTATTTAAAGATATTCTATTGTCTATTCACTGTCTATGCATAGTTTGAATGCAGATATTGAAGGCCTACTAGCTATATAAAAATGGAAATGTAGAAGATGTAGTTATTACATACACTGTTTTATTAAATGATTTTTTGTTTTTACGGGACTTTGGAATTTGGCATTTTGTAGAGCACATAATTACAACCTCGAAAATTTCGACCTCGGTTGGCAATTGAGCTCTTATTAATATTTAGCCTTAATTTGCACCAAATTCAGTTATTAAAGTTAGAGTAGCCTCTCGTGTATTATTTTAAAAAAATACAATAGAGTCGCGTAGATAAAAGAATTGTGCACCAAATTAAGTTAAAATTTGAGTGCATAATAGTACGTAAAACTAGTGCTTTATAAAGGAAACATAGATTAATTTCTATTAATGTAATTAAACATCGATTTAACTAACGTTTTATCATATGGTTTTTTACCTAGGTGTAAAGTTTGAATCACATTGTCTTGCAAATAACGAGAAAGAAATCAAGGGAAAAAAATAATTTAATGCACAAGAAGTAGAAAAAAGTACTACTTTCGGTCATCAGAAATCACCATTTAAAACTGTATTTGTATGCTCGGTATTTTAGAAAACTATAAATAAAGAAACAATTCCGGACATGGGAGGTCTCTCAAAAATTAAAGGTAATCCAAGCATATTTTTTTTTACAAACAGAAAGACGTGCAAATGGAGTTAAGTACCACTTTTAGATTGCAGAAGTCACTAAAAAATTTAAAATAATCCAAATTCAAAATCTTTTGCCTAAATATGAAATTTCCTTTTATGTAATTGAAACAGTTCTCAAAGTATCATGATCCCACGGAAATAGACCAAAGTAGCACTTCCTGTTATTGAAAAATTGATTACAAGTTTAAAAAACCTGCACATAAAATGTAATATTAGTATATGAAATTAGGTATACCTAACTTTAATGGTACCTAATGTATCAGCCTTTAAGCAAACGGACATAAGCACTTTACATTCGGGTTACTGGAAATCGCTCAATGTTGACAGAAAAGTGCAAATTTAATATAATACATAAATATGAAATTTGGACCACATAATTGAAACGTTGCACAAGTTTTCGTTTTTTTCACACATACATACACACATACACACACACAAACTGACAGGATTGCAAAACTAAATTTTTTCCCTACCGACTGATTGCCAAACGTCAAATTTAGTAAAAAATCTCGATTTAGACATTTTTACAAATACAATACATCCATTATATTCCGTACTACCATCCGGTGTTAAAGCCTTGTCGTGGCTTGGCAGCTTGTGTATCCTGACCACCCCCAGTGCTATACCAGCGGGAGTGTAAACTCCTAGTAGGTTCAACCAAGCTGGGAAGATCTGCGCGGGTAGGGATCAGACTAAAGCTAACACCCTGGTCCTCCAGGTTGGTGGTTGAAACATAAGGCTAGCAACCTTATCTCGTAAAAAAAATATACCGCTACAGAAACTGCATGTACACAAATCCAACACAAACTTGGTCGAGGAGGTTCCTCTCTAGAAGAGCCCATGATGCCTACTAGTGAAAGCCTAACGGAAGGTAGTTTGCTGACAAATCTCCTAACGCCCAAGACTAAACCAGATTAGGGACCTGGAACATCAGAACCCTATATGAAAGCAGCAGATCAGCCCAGGTCGCCAAAGAAATGAGGAGGTATAAATTAAAAGTCCTGAAATTAAGTGAGACACAATGGAATGGCAGTGGCCAAACTATGTTGGTCTCGGGAGAGACTGTCATCTACTCAGGCCACGAGGACGAAGATCATGAACACACGCAAGGTGTAGCCAAAATGATGTCTCCAGAAGCAACAAATGCTTTGATTGCATGGGAACCAGTCTTGCCATAGCAGCTCGTTTCAATGCCAAGGGAAGGAAAACAACTTTAATACAGTGCTATGCACCCACAAATGCTGCAACAGATGAAGAGAAAGAGGACATTTACAGTGCCCTGCAGGCTCAAATCGACAAATCACCAAAAAGAGATATAAAGATAGTAATGGGAGACATGAATGCCAAAGTTGGAACAGAAAATAAAGATCGTTCGCTCACAATGGGGAAAAATGGAATAGGCATAATAAATGAAAACGGGGAACTCTTTGCTGATTTCTGCGCATTTAATGATCTAATTATAGGGGGGACAATTTTCTCTCATAAAAATATACATAAGACCACATGGTCGTCACCCGATGGCAAAACAAATAACCAAATTGATCACAGCACAGTTTCCAGAAAGTGGAGAAGAAGTTTAATGGATATTTGGGCGAAACGAGGTGCAGATGCAGCCTCAGACCACCAACTCGTGGTTGCAACACTAAAATAAAAATTAAAATCCTACAGGGATCGAGCTGATAAACCGCAGTTGAAATTCAATACAGCATATCTCAGGAGTCCAAAAATAAAGGAAGACTTTAACTGCGCGGTAAAAAAATAGGTATGAAGCACTCTCCAGCCTGGCAGAAAAAAAAACAGTAGAGCAATAATAATCATTAAAAAAGTTTTAAAAAACCCACGTTTTCTGATTGAACTAAAAAGTAGAAAATAAATGCTATACATCACAATAATGCAAGCGATCACTCTACTATAAGCGATGAAAAACGTGGGGCGTCGAAGTAAAAGTTATATTACTATTGATTAGATAATACTATTGACTTTTATTAGGGAGCTTGTAGAGAGTCAACAGTATTAGAAACTGTAAGAAAATCACGGCGCCCCACGTTTTTCATCGCTTATAGTAGAGTGATCACTTGCATTATTGTGATGTATATCATTTATTTTCTACTTTTTAGTTCAATCAGAAAACGTGGGTTTTTTAAAACTTTTTTAATGATTATTATTTTCTACTTTTTAGTCTTTGTCTGTTTGTTTGCATTGAAATCTTGCTATCGATTTTATCTTTTCACTTTTTTTTTGGGTAAACGAAGACAACTCGTAAAAAGACAACTCGTAAAAAACACGTTGTGTGAATACGTTACTGACTAGAACACATAGATTTGAACCCGTGTCGAGTGGGTTAGCAATCGTGTGCCCAACCACTCGACCATATCGTCTCCCCCATACTGGCCACCAGTTGTTACGTTCTGGTTGTTTGTAGACAAACACCGCGTGACAACTATTCAGTAAGAAAAAGAGGGAGAGTACCGAACCATGTTTTCATCAAATTACAGTTACTGGGTTATGTCCCTTTTTCCCCACGTTTTTTTGTACAATTATATAGGGGTATAAAATTATCAATAAAATGTTTCCATGGATCAATTTAGTAATAATAACAGTTGAATATTCTATTGTCATCCGAAACAAAGCTTCCCTGAAAATTTCAGCGCGCTAGCTAACTGGGAAGTGCCCGAAATTTCGATCGCAAGATTTGATTGGAAAAACAAACAAACAAACAAACAAACAAACAGAGGCGAAAGCAAGTTAAAGAAAACGTGGGAAAAATGGCTAGAAATACAGGAACTATGGAATTCAACATGCACTGACATATTGGGAAGAAGAAAACATGAACAAAAAGAATGGATCTCAACAGAGACATGGGCCAAAATTGAAGATAGAAAAGAGATAAAACAAAAGATGAACAAATGTAAGAATGAAAAAGATAAAATAAACCTCAGAACACATTATTGAGAAGTAAATCGCATGGTTGGGAAAAGTGCAAAAGAAGACAAAAGAAACTATATGAAGACTACACCGGTCAGGTAATACACAAGGGAAAACTAACAAAACCATTCACGGTGACGACGGGAGTAAGACAGGGATGTATGCTATCGCCAATGATATTCTTGATGGTAATCGACTGGATCATGCTGAAAACCACAAAAAAAAAAAACGACACAGGAATCCAGAGGAGTTTCACCAAAAGGCTGGAAGATCTTGATTTTGCCGAGGACATCTGCCTACTATTTCACAAGCATCAACATACGCAAGCCAAACTAAATCGGCTATCTGAAGAAGCCTCCTTCTTCTTCTTCTTCTTCGTTCTTAATTATTAGTGTTGAAGG